GGGGCGGTCACGTGGCCTCGCGCCCCACCGGGGCTCGCTCGGCACAAAGGGAGGGGCGGAGCGGGCACCGGGAGCGGGAGGGAGCACCGGGCACCGGCACCGGGGAGCGGGATGGGACGGCTCTGGGGAGCAGGCACTGGGCACCGGGACTGGGAGCGGGAGCGGGACCGGGACTCAGACCCAGCACCGGCCACCGGGACCAGGTCCGAGGACCGGTAGTACCGGCCACTGGGTCCTAGCACCGGGTCCGGGCACCGGCCACTGGGTCCAAGTACAGGGTCTGGGGACCGGGACTGGCCACCGGGTCCGAGCACTGGCCACCGGGTCCGAGCACCAGGGACCAGGACTGGCCACCGGGTCCAAGCACCGGGGCTGGGGACTGGGACTGGCCACCGGCTCTGAGCATTGGGTCCAAGCACCGGGACTGGGCACCGGGACCAGGTCCAAGGACCGGGCACCGGCCACTGGGTCCGAGCAGCGGGTCCAGGGACCGGGACTGGCCACCAGGTCCAAGCACTGGCCACTGGGTCCAAGTAGCAGGTCTGGGGACCGGGACTGGCCACCAGGTCCAAGCACTGGCCACTGGGTCCAAGTAGCAGGTCTGGGGACCGGGACTGGCCACCAGGTCCAAGCACTGGCCACTGGGTCCAAGTAGCAGGTCTGGGGACCGGGACTGGCCACCAGGTCCAAGCACTGGCCACTGGGTCTGAGCACCAGGTCCAGGCACCAGCCACTGGGTCTGAGCACCGGGACCAGGTCCAAGAACCGGGATCTGGCCACAAGGACCAGGAACTGGCCACCAGGACCGGGATCTGGCCACTGGGTCCAAGCACCAGGTCCAGGCACCGGGCACTGGGTCTGAGCACCGGGACCAGTTCCGAGCACTGGGCACTGGCCACCAGGACCGGGATCTGGCCACAAGGACGAGGAACTGGCCACCAGGCCCGGGATCTGGCCACAAGGACGAGGAACTGGCCACCAGGCCCGGGATCTGGCCACAAGGACGAGGAACTGGCCACCAGGCCCGGGATCTGGCCACAAGGACGAGGAACTGGCCACCAGGCCCGGGATCTGGCCACAAGGACGAGGAACTGGCCACCAGGCCCGGGATCTGGCCACAAGGACCAGGGCCTGGCCACCAGGACCGAGATCTGGCCACTGGGTCCAAGTAGCAGGTCTGGGGACTGGGACTAGCCACTGGGTATGAGCACTGGCCACTGGGTCCAAGCACCAGGTCCAGGCACCGGGCACTGGGTCTGAGCACCGGGACCAGTTCCGAGCACTGGGCACTGGCCACCAGGACCGGGATCTGGCCACTGGGTCCAAGTAGCAGGTCTGGGGACTGGGACTAGCCACTGGGTATGAGCACTGGCCACTGGGTCCAAGCACCAGGTCCAGGCACCGGGCACTGGGTCTGAGCACCGGGACCAGTTCCGAGCACTGGGCACTGGCCACCAGGACCGGGATCTGGCCACTGGGTCCAAGTAGCAGGTCTGGGGACTGGGACTAGCCACTGGGTATGAGCACTGGCCACTGGGTCCAAGCACCAGGTCCAGGCACCGGGCACTGGGTCTGAGCACCGGGACCAGTTCCGAGCACTGGGCACTGGCCACCAGGACCGGGATCTGGCCACTGGGTCCAAGTAGCAGGTCTGGGGACTGGGACTAGCCACTGGGTATGAGCACTGGCCACTGGGTCCAAGCACCAGGTCCAGGCACCGGGCACTGGGTCTGAGCACCGGGACCAGTTCCGAGCACTGGGCACTGGCCACCGGGACCAGGAACTGGCCACCGGGACTGGGATCTGGCCACTAGGACCAGGACCTGGCCACCGGGACCAGGTCCAAGCACTGGGCACTGGCCACCGGGACCGGGATCTGGCCACCGGGACTGGGATCTGGCCACTAGGACCAGGACCTGGCCACCGGGACCAGGTCCAAGCACTGGGCACTGGCCACCGGGACCGGGATCTGGCCACCGGGACTGGGATCTGGCCACCAGGACCAGGACCTGGCCACCGGGACCAGTTCCGAGCACTGGGCACTGGCCACCAGGACCGGGATCTGGCCACCGGGACCAGTTCCCAGCACTGGGCACTGGCCACCAGGACCAGGACCTGGCCACCAGGACCAGGCACCGGTCCCTGCCCCGGTGGGACGGGGCTGCCACGGCGTGTGTGCCCCCAGCACCTCCCTTGCCCCCCCCT